TGTGCATGAGATGAAAACTTAAGCAGGAAAGGTTCTTCTCTGGGCCTTTGCTTCTCTCACTATTACAATTCCTCTCCCACTGGACACATGAAAGTTGAAAGATTTAATCATAAGGATTCTGGACTTGATAATATTTGATACATGGAATGTCTTACGACAATAGGATTAAATAATTCTAATAGTCCCAAATTTGTCCCAACCTCAGTGTGGATAGCCCCAAATCTTAGAATTATAGGATTTATTTCTGGAAAAAGTGATTTTCCATAGAACACACACACACACACACACACACACACACACACACACACACACACACATGTGCATGCACACACAAACACCTATGGTACAATTTCTATGAACTCCTGAAATCAGATAAGCATATATAAACCAAACACTCATTAAGGCCCTTCAAACGTAAAAAATTTCTAACCATGTTTGACACCTTTTTTCTTAGTGGACAACCACTTACATTTTATCTCCTCAGAAACAAAGAAAAAGTCATTTGATAATACAGATACAGGAGAACGTTTTTTTTAAAATATTATGTAACACATCATCAGAAATATAAAATATTATAATCATAAAATAAGCTGTTATAACAAAGATAATCAGAAAAAAAGATCTTAGAAATTAGAGTGTTTCAAACATTTAAAAGTTAAGTATTTGAAACATGAAGTTTAGATATAAAATCGGGCAATACAGATAAAATTAGAGTACTAATCCAGATGGCATAGTATCTATCTACACAAATTTCCAAAAACAAAACAAAAGGAAAGATGTCTTTCAAATACTATAAAATCTATTAAAACTAGAAATTATTTACTTGATAAAAATCCCACAAAAAGATCCATAAGTTGAATGTAAAGACCTCCAAGTCATATTTTTATTTTATCACACTGTGAACAAATTATCAAAAGAAGATACTATTGTTGAAATAAAATGAAAGGTTTTCTTGGGCTAGAGAGATGTCTGAGTCATTAAGAGATCATGCTGCTTTTCTAGAGGACATGAGTTCAGTTCCCAGCACCCATATCAGGTGACTCACAAACACCTATAATTCCAACTCCAGAAAACCAATGCCTTCTTCTGGCCTCTGTCAGCACCTCCTCCCTCTCCTCCCTCTCCCTCTCCCTCTCCCTCTCCCTCTCCCTCTCCCTCTCCCT